AGCTTTACCCTGAACAGAATTTCACTGTGCATAGAGCTTGCCATCTTCTGCAAGGCTTCTGACAACTACTGCCATTTTCCTCACGTGGGGAGGCAGTCGGGGTGTTACGTAAAACCCCTATTTAATTAACCTTGTTTAGGTTTACATCCAATAAAGAGGAAAGGCATTATTATTAACACCCTGCTGTTTTAATTGATTTCATGTAGTGTAGAATTTAGCTCTTCCTATTTAGAAGCGCTTAGGAAATTATAATCTTAATGTCTCAAATATGATAAAAGTACAAGAAACTAGGGAATGACTTGAAAATACAAGGAAAGGTGCAAATTTATGCACTTGCCGAAGTTCTAAGTTATCAAATCAAAGTCTCCAGTACTAGGCAGGAGTTAAATGCACTATCCAATCTGTTCCTACTGTCCTTTTTGAAGTAAAACAGTAGATTCCCATTCACTTCCATGTGAACAAATAACCATTGTGAAATACAACATGACAAGTTGTACTTATTGCTTCTCCTGGTGGCAGTTTCAGCTAAGATCAAAGACCAAGAACATATTCAGACCAAATCACTTTCCTGATTCTGAAAAGTCAAGGTGAGGGACAATAAGAGCAATGCTGTTTCTTACCAGTCTGTGGATAACCACAGTAAATAATTTTGTTTGGCTGCTATAAAAACAGTTTCAGCCTTCAAGCACAGGGTTGGAATGATGATAGTTCTGAAAATCTACTGAAAAAATCAGATATTTTTAGATGAAAAAGGGATATGTCTGTGAGAAAATGATGGTCAATAGAGATTATAGTAGAGAATATTTTGAATAGAATTTTGACTAGGACTTCTAGATTTGGCACAAGGGATTGAAAATAAAAGTTATCCTAATAAAAACAAGCAGGCCTATACTTTCTTAGTTCATTGCATACAGTGTTGCTACAAGAAAATGTTGGAAATTCTATACAATTCTATACAAAAAGGCTTCTATACAATTTTTTTTCTATTAATTACACAGATTATCCCTCACAGAAGCTAAAATGTTATCTTTTGTTAGACAAAATAAGACTTTACCAATGCCAAAGGATTCTGGTTTTATATAATCCTTGGCATTATTTTTCTTCCACCAAATGTACTACGAAGTTACATAAACAAAACATTTGGGATATTTTATTTTCCTAGACTGCAATCTGCAGTCATTCCAATGAAATTAAGCTGGTCCATTTTCCTTAATATTCCCTTCATGCACAAGTTGACATCATTATCACACTCATCTTTTTGCCAGGCAAGTCCTTGAAGTACCTAAATTGGTATGGGTACCAAATTATTGATAGCTAAGTAAAGAACAGCAAAAATTACCTTTGGTTTGTATAAAAAATTACTTCTCAATATGAAGATTGTAACACCATTTTTGGTACAAAACCTACTGATATAATTTCAACACGAGCAAAGTAATATTTATTAGCAAGAGATTTTATTTTTAATTGCAATTGCTAGATATCATGCAATTTTAGCAAGTGAAAAGTTATCTACAGCCCAAATAAATGTTACTTTGTCACTAGATTTTATAACACTGCATTAAGCATCAAGATGCTCATCACATTTAATACTTGGGTCTCCCACAGTGAAAGTATGAGCATTGTAACCAGTGATGAGAGGTTTATAGTGGTTTCATTATTAGCAACATTTAAATAATGTTTAATTTCTCAGGTTTTTAAAAGAGTAAACAAACTGCAGGCAAGCCTGGGAATATTTTTATCTGATAAAGTATCAGTGTATGTAGAAAAAATGGACATATAATTCTGTGACTTCATACACATTATTTCATACATATTATTTTTCTTAAACATACTCCATTAAAAAGCATTTTGTTCAGGATCAACTCAGGCAATTTTGAAGTGTTTCCTTCAGAAGAGTAAAATAAGGGATGTAGACAGAACTCTATCAGACTTCAAGTTCCTGTTTTCTCCATTCATAAACCTATGGCTTTAACACATTATGTATCTCAACTTTGAAACTGGATAGGTTAAAGAAGATTACATGACAGCAAAAAAGGAGTTTAACGTCCTTTGTCCCCGGTACCTGGTCATGCTTTAGATTTTATTCTAGTAAAGAAATACATTTTTAATCTCCTGATTAATTTCTAATTCTTATGTAATTAACAGAAATGATAATGAGATACAATTGATGACATTACACAAATGAGTAGTGAAACTGGGAATTTTCAAAATGGGAATTGTGTCAAAACACCAAAACAACTGCTTTATTACCACATCACTATTACCACTTTCAAGATTTGCATCTCTCAATTGATCCAGCTTTGTTTCAGGGCAATGCAAAAATCAAAATATTTTAACCACTTATTTAAAAGAGTATCAAAAGATGTGCCACACTTTGTTTCCAACATCATGCAGAAAATTTCCATGAGGATTGTCCTAAGAGGGCCATGTTTTTTGCTTCTGTTCTCAAGAGGAATGTAGCTCCCCACCCCTCATCCTGCCTGTAACATGCTAACAGCTATTTTCAGTCCCCTTCCAGCTGAGCCAAGCCTACACTTCCGCTCTCTCTTTAGGATGAAAACCAGAAATGTCTTGTCATTTAAATGCGTTAGGAATGCAAGTAAAGAAAGCATGGCCTGACCATCTTGTAAAGGCAAATGGATCTAGTCCAGTCTCAAAATATCAGGGTTTGATGCCTTATTTTGGTGCTTCTTTAGAGTTGTATATCATTTCACTATTTCACACGATTTTAACAATGACATGGTAGGATCTAATTCTGTAATATTTTGAAAAATATATAATGCTTTTATTTCCAGACTGATTATATTTTGTGATTACAATATAAATTATAACTGAATTATAATATATATAATGTACCTGAAGTTTGCTCTTTGTTGGAAACTATGTTTTAGGAAAAAAATAAAATTCTTATGTGCCCCTGAAAGCAAAAAAAGCACATTTTTACTTAATAAACAACTTTTTAAAATCCTTTTAGTCACTTAGTAATTTAGACACTGAGTATTGACTCCATTATGAGGGACTTGTTCAGCCTGAAGGAGACTGAGGTGAGACCTTGTTCTTCCTGGTTAGGGAAAGCAAAAGGATAGGTACAGATCTGTTCACACTTGTGGCCAGTGACAGAACCCAAGGGAATGGCCTAAAGTTGAGTCAGGGGAGGTTTAGGCTGGATATTGGGAAAAGGTTCTTCACCCAGAGGGTGTTTGGGCACTGGAACAGGCTCCCCAGGGAATTGGTCCCAGCACCAGCCAGACAGAGTTCAGAAAGTTTGGACAATGCCCTCAGGCACATGGTGTGACTCTTGGGGATGATCCTGTGCAGGGCCAGGAGTTGGTCTCAATGACCCTTGTGGGCCCCTTCCAACTCAGCTTATTCTGTGATTCTGTGAGTAGCACTATTCTCACTTAGTGAAGAGGCACTGACACTCCAGCAGCACAGTGAGGAGGTCATAAACTTAAATAGCTGGTTAAATCTTCCAAGTTTTGGCCAAATTTTAATCATTTCAGGACAGTTAAAGCAATCAGTAATTTTAGTGAGATTTGCATGAATACTTGTCTGAAAATAAGATGTCGTCTTTGATCACTTTGAATAAGCCTTATTTCTAGCAGTTTGAGAGCTTTCTGTTGTAAAAATGAAATTAATGAAGAATTCTTGAGAGAGAGCTACAAAATCCTATTTTTTAATACAATAAATTATATTAAATTAGCTTTATTTTGGCATGAGATATGAAATTACTTTAAAAATTTCCTAGCCCGTGGATTTTTCCCAGTGATTAAAAATTTCCTTTGAAGTGAGATGCTGAAATACATGGAAAGAACCACGTAGCACGTTTTAGATTTCAGGTTTTTGGGAATGACTTGAAGTCAAATTGTAATCATAGGGTGTTTTATTGAATCAAAAATGACCTTTGATGAATGACTTTCACTCTTAAGAAAGAGTGAAAGTTTTCCTCTTTAAATAGTGTTCTTTTGAGTGTTGCATTCCTCGTATGAAGATAACTATGCTAAGAACCTTCCCACTTAGATATAATTTACTAATGTTCACTTAAAAGTTTTATTGAAGTAAACTCAAATTTTAAAACATGAACCCCCCACTAAGTGGATATAAATTTCATAAACAGTATGACTTCCATTTAGTCAAGCAGAAGAATAAATTGATTGCAGCTGGACAAGGTTTTTGATGCAAAGTTAACTTTGCTACATTGTACTCAAATGATATACATCAAATTTTAAAATTTCCTGACCTTTATGAACTTAATTTTTTTCTGTTAACATAGCATGGACATTTGATTTACATTTCATTGGCTGGAAGATTCAGTTAAATGACTGTGGATTCCATTTCTAAACTTGTTCACATAAAAGGATTTCTTTCTACTAGGAAATGTTCAAATAATTTTACATGAGACAGGTTTGAATTACTTTATCACACCATTTGATCACATGAAACTCTTTTTGATTCAAGTGGCAATATTTTAAATTGGTATGCATACTTTTGTCCATATGATTCTTATTGACTTAAATAATGTTTACATGGTCAGGAAGTACCTCATGCAGCGGAGTTAGTAAACATAGCCCTTGTTATTCAGATATTAAAATATATTCTAGGCAAGTAGAGCATTGGGAGGTGAGGGCATTTCAACTGCCATATTATCTGTGAGAGAGACATCAATGCTTAGAGCAGCGTCCTTTCTATATTAAAATCAGCAGAAGAATGTAAGTAGGATTTGATGAAAACTCCTTTCTGTTCCCTTACAAAGATTATCAGATACATCATTAATAATGGGATGTACAAGTTTAAAATTAATATCATCTTGAGGAAAACTCCTTGGAATAATTCTAATAATTATCTGCAGTTTGAACCTCCTCTATCTAACATTTCTTTCTAATATTACTGAAAAAAGCTATCTCTCAGTTTGTTCAAAATTTTGTACATGAGAGACATATAAAGGCATGCAAATTTCTATAAGTTCCCAGCATAGAGATGACAAATGCATGGTCACTTACTGCCTTGATGCTTTCAAAGTGTCCACCTTCTTTCTCAAAGTCAATTGGCTGCCCATTGAGTGTCCAGTAGAAGGTGACATCCATTGTGCTGTCATGCAGGGCTTTGCAACTGAGGACGATGCTCTCTCCAACTGTTAACTCGATCTTCTTGGGAGTCAGTTCTATTCTGGTAGGTTCTTGAAAGAGAAGTGTTAGGAACACTCAGATGGAAGTCTACTTAGAGTGCCAGACCAAAATAACAGGATTGAGTACTGCTGAGTCTACCCAGAGCTTACTTTTTCTCTTAGTATGCGTTGCAGAGTCAAATACTGAAATAAATTCTTAATTCACACTGGAGTGTGACACTGGGGATCAGAAGGTACAGGCAGTTTCATGGAGTTAACAAGGCAGAATCCTAAACAACAATCTATAGGACATCTGAGATGCATTAAATAATTCTATTAGTTTCAGGAAAATCTACTTTGTTGGGTTTTTTTGGGGGTTTTTTGGGTTTGTTTTTGTTTTTGTTTTGTTTTTGTTTTTTGTGGTTTTTTTTTTTTAAGGCTGCAGCACCTGAAATCTAGTGATTGCATAAAAAATTCAGTTTTGTCATATAAAATAATAAAGGATGTTTCGTGGATTACTAAATATAGGAAGAAACTTGAAAAATGAAGTCAAAAGGCTTGAACACCTGCAAAGAAAATCCATGAATTCAGCTGAAAAATGAAAAAAAAAAGGTTCAGAAATGGATTACTCCTAAGTGGTTTTATCATTACTATTAATCTTCTAAGGTACTACTTTTCTCTGGATTTTCCATAGATACAATTAGTACTTTAATTGTAATTAAAGGTTTGTTCTCATGCAGAAAAAGTTAGGGGTGAGTTCCCAAAGAGAAAATATGTTAGAAGGGATATTGATTCTTTTACTTATAGAATTATTTATAGTTTGAGTGATTTAATGCATGTACGAAGTCTTATGACACATCTACAATGCAACAGCTGGAGTATGCATTCTGATTTGATGTTTGACCAGATGGAGTTCAGCAACCTTAGCTTTTTGGAAATGGTTTATTATACTGCCTGGAGAATGCTGTTTTATGGTTGGTTGGGGATTCTAATATTTAAATATTAGTCAAAAGAAATAATCATTGCCATCAAAGAATTTTTCATACCTTTAACAGACACTGATGCAATGATTTCTGCAGATCCAAATACATTTACACCTTGGCATAAATACCGCCCTTCATCAGACTTGGAAGCATTCAGGATTCTCAGACTCCCATGTGGAAGAATAGTTATCCTGGAAAGGATAAATCCATAAATATAAAAATATCTCTCCTATCTTACCAGCCAAATTCCATGATGATATCTTTCAGAGATAATAAATAGGATTAAGGATTGCTGCCTCTGTAGCAAGGGATGATGAGCATGATAACTGAATTATCTTCTGTTTCAAAAAGGTTTTAATAAATCCATTTTACTACTCCTTCCTTAATTCAAATTTTTCACAGAAGCATCAGTGGATTAGTATCCTTTGACACTTATTAGAGGTGAATTTTAATGAAACTTCTAGAACAGTAAAAAAGGTAATCCGTCATAATTTGTCTTCAAAGTTTCACCACTATATTATTGTCAAATCACATTTCAATATCAAGCACAGACTATTCCATCTAGAAAAAAAATGACCTTAGAAATCAGACCTGAGAAGAATGGGAAGCAAAACTCAAAAGAAGGCAAGAAAAAAAAATCTCTATAAAATTAATTGTATCTGGTCAAAACATGATTTATGGCATCACACCACAGTGTAGCAAAGGGACTTAAATAATCTTTCCTTTTTGTAGATAGGTTTTATTTTTTTCTCTGAGTCTATAATTGCAGATTACCTCTTGGTAAGTAACCCCACTAAAGCATATTCATGAGAAAAGTTTGGCTGTTCATATTTAAGAGTTTCCAATTTTGTTTTTGCTTACACAATATTAATCATTAAATGATTGAAGCATGAAGCATTACATGAAGCAGCATGTAAATTAATGCTTTTTTTGCTCTTCTAAAATGACAAAGACTCTGAATTTATCCTGTCTTAGAGTTGCAGCCCAGGAAGAGCAGTAAATAATCATGGTCCTGTTCCTGACAGAGAACTGTGAGCTTAAAAGGAATATGACAACTCTTAGATAGCATTTAAGCCCAGCCTTGCTTGCAGGTGTTTTGTATCCCTTCCCAGTTTAGGGAGTGGTTATGACTCTCTCGAAGGTCTTGGGAGGCTGGGAGGAATGGGTGCTGGAAGCAGAAATCCTCTGAAAATGCTTTCAGGTATCCCATAGAAGTGGGGGAGGACATGGGGTGTTTCCTTCTCTGTATTTGGAAACTAAGGTAAGACTTCTGTGTTAGAGAATCTAAATAAATAAGTGTGTGGCTCTTCTCTAGGGATGGTTGGATTTTTAGTTATACCTGTCCAGAGAGAGGATCTTCTGGCTGATACAGTATAGACTGACACTCCTTCTGCTGGGAATCCTCTGTGGAGTCTATGATCAGAAATCATGGAGGGTACAGTGCTGTGTTTTAATCTTGAGAAGTATTTAATAAAGAGTATGGCACTTTTGATGGGACGGGTGGGCTCTTCAGCAGCAAAAGAGGGAAGGAATTACATTTATAGGTTGGATGTGTTAAACTTCAAAGCTGTTACCCTTGATTTATACAAGGAGTTATTTACATAGGCTTAAAATTCAATAAGGTGCTCAAATTAAATCATTAAGATAATTAATAATAAATAACAATAAGGAATCTTTCCTTTTTTTCTTCTTTCCTTCCTTTTCTCTCTCTTTCTCTCTCTCTTTTTCCTTTTTTTCTTCAAAAAAAGAATAATATCCCCTATTTTCTGACTGTGAGAAATGGTGGTTTATTATCCAAGGTTTATAAACATTATGGTGGAGAAAACAGAATTTCATTCCAGAGAAAAATGTGCTTCTGTTCACTTCAGATGTGAAACCACTCACTGCTCTCAGCAGTGAGAAGAAAATAATAGTTTCAAAATTGAACAGGGCAGAGGAAGGACATGTCAACTTCAGGGTTCTCCAGTACAACCTGAGAATGCATCTTCCAACCTGCTCTAAAAATATATACACCAGTATTTGAGTCACATTATTTGTCTAAAGGTAATTTTATTGAAAACATTTTGTATTAAGCAAATGACTCTGTATTAGAATTTTGAGTGTTTGGATTTTTTTTTCCAACAAATAAAAAGGCTTGAAATTTTGTTATGATATGTCACACCTTTGAAGTAACACTGCTTCAGAAACTGACAGGGATGCAAGCTTCCTTCATTTTCCCTTCATATAATTTAAGCAAACATTTCTATCAACATGCTGTCTTCAATGTTCCAATGACAGCATTTGTATGGCAATAGTCTTTGCAGAACAGTAATAGTTCTCATCAATATACTGACAGGATCAGAAAAAAAAAAGGGTATTCCTTTAATGTTTGCAACTTATAGAAGCTTTTACACAGGTTAAGTCCTGATATAAAACAGTTCTGGAATTCTGACCTTGGAGGAAAAGAAAGCTAGATGCATATGGAAGATTATCTAAAGAATCTTATGGATATTATCAATTACATTTATATGTAGTTAAAATCTCCTGTTATCCATGAGGGAAAGAGTAATCATTCAATCAAAGGAATTGCAAACACATTTGTTAGTGAATTATTTGGCTCAGAAATTAATATTTAGCACTCATCTGTCCTCCCTTTTTTTGTGTGTGTTTGGGAATAAAGCCAGAGGCCTGGTTATGATGGAAACTGAAATGCTTTATTTATTCATACAATACTTGCTGCACACAGCAGGAACATAGAGTTCTCCTCCTTCCCTGCCAATATCTCTCAGTCACGGAGAGACCACCTGCATAGCACGTCTACATATTTTAATAAAAAAGTATGGTAGCAAAAAGTTTTTTACTTCATAAATAGAAAGGAAGCAAAGAAAGGAAAATGGGGCTGGGCTAGAACTAAGGATAATTCAGGAAAAGAAGCAACACTAAATTGTTAACTAACTAGAAACTGAGGGAAAGATTATGATAGATTAACTAACAGAGAAAGGATGATTGAGAGATCAAGGTGAGAATTTGGAGATTATTGTATTTAAGTATAAGAAAAATCATTGTAATCACATAAAGGAGATGGATGTTGTCCATATATGACTTCTGAAAAAATATGGCACAAAATCAATGTCTCTGTAGAAAAGAATTTTCATCTGTCTAATAACATGAGGAAAAAGAGATGAGAGTAAATGTATTGATGTCAAAAAGTGTGTTGTCTTGAGATCAACTGCAGCAAAGCTTTTAGCAGTAATTATTAGGAAAGAGTAATCAAGCTATAACAGCAAATGGACTTGTGATAAAATTGAACATGGGTTAACTTAAGCACACTGAATGAGATTAAATTCTTATAATATTTAATAAGAAATCTTTTCTATAAAAAATAAGTAGAGATTTAATCTTCCATGGGTTTCAAGCATGATTTTCATGCTGAAATGCATATGACTAGTTGAATATATTTAATACAAAAATTAAGGAATGTTAAGAGACTGGTTGAAGAAAAGGCTTTTTTTTAAAAGATAAATTGGTTTTTATGATATGATATTAATTTTCAAAATTACCAAGATACAAAAAGGCTGCTAAAAATTTGATTAAATAAACAGTTCTTTGACACAGCAACTGAGCACTAGATTAATAGAAAAGCAGTAGTTGTGACTCTGAACTAAGAGGACCAAATGTGACCATTTTCCTTTGCTGAAAGGAAAATGCGACCCTAGAATATACCAGATACCAACCTGCACCTCTTTATGCAAGTATTAATACATGAAGTGCTGAGGAAATATAATAAGGAAAATTTTGATCATTAGTATTCAGAAAGATTCATTGTAATCAAGCTGACATTTGGAAGGATCAACATGATGACCAGAGAGGAAAGAAAACCTTTTGTTCTAGAGGCTGTTTGTAAAATTAAAACTGCACATGAAATGAGTTCCTATTTTACACAATAATTTATGAATCTTGTCAGCATTCAGTTGAACCTCTATTAAAGGTAAAAAAAGTGCAGATGTCTAATTCATATTGTAAATCTTCACACTTTGGTATCTGAACTTGAACTGAATCTCATCCTCAAATCTTAATTTAGTTCCCCAGATATAAGTACATTTCACGATCAGACATAATTTGAGGGAGAAACCCCCAGATGCTGCAAGACATAGAAATTAATTTCCTCATTGTGCCCACTTGCTGTGGGCTTGGTTTGTGAAATGAAGCCTTCTGAGCACCTGAACTTCAATTGATATTGAACTAGAAGGTATGCTTGAGGAATGAATTGCTTTTCAGATAAAAACATTCATCTGTGGAATGGAACTAGAGTTATTCCAAGGAGAAACTTTATATCAACTTTTTGCTTCTCCTATTGATCCATGCTACCTGCTCATGTAGAAATAGCCATTAGACACCTGCACTGGGCTTCCAAACTTGGCAGAAGACCTGTGAGAGGATGTAAACGCTTAAAGCACAAACACAGAAATCAATTAGCCACAAGATTCACTGCTCATGAAGCTGAAACCCCCCAAAAATTAATAATTGAAACAACTATATTGAAATTGAATGTGATTTCAAAGTGTATCTTATATCTCTGCATATTATAATTTTCCACTCTGATTGTATCAGATATAGAGCAATTGTTGGATGCCCAGCTTGCAGCACCTGTGGTTTTCTTGTCCAGAACATCAGCAAGTCTGGACATACGTATTTGTAGCATTTCTATAATGTCAGTTATGTGAACGACAGTGTAATCCATTAAACTAGTTTGAGAACTGCTACAAAGCCATAGAAACATGAATGAGAGTGTAAATTTTCCACTCTAAATCTTCAGGATTGGACTTATATTAACACCAGAAGGCTGAAAAATACTCAGCAACTATAGTTTTCAGATAATATTTTAAAATTGTTATTTTCACTGTAAAAATATTGCAGTCTATTCAAAGTCTATATTCACTAGTAATACTTAAGGCTGGAAAACGTGCTTAGTACATTTGTTTAAAGAAAAATGCATTAGCTCACTCAGATCAGTAATTTTGTCAATTGTGTTCTTTCAGCAATGAAGTATGCACCAGGGAGAGTAAGCCCTTGATAAAGAATGTACTGCTTTATCTGGAAGGATGAAATTCCATGCCGTTTGCATATGGGATGTTGATGTGAGCAGAAAGTCTCAGAGAATACCTAAGTGTCTGCTAAGAAGCTGATGGATGGAAATCAGGCTAGTAAGAGA